CTTCTCAGGGCCGCCTCCTACCCCTTAGCCTGGGTATTATCTTGGCCCAGAACTATCTGTATCAGAACCACATTTTGGAGCTACTAAGTATAAGGGTTTTTTTTTACTACTATGACCCCTCACCCCAGTAGGCTGAGAACAGTATATACTATATGCATTCACTTTTGTAAAAACACAAAAACCTTTTATTTATCACTGCCTATTACGTAAAATAGTAACTACAAATAAAATTTATGGACTAATGTTTGAAATGATTGCATATATAGGAAAAACTGGAATATTACACACTAAAAATGTTAATTGTAGTTATTTCTGTTGTAGTATTTATTTATGAGTGGTGAGAGATTGTTGAAATATTTTGTCATAGAAAGAGCTGTGTAGGAAGTCATAAATTTAACCATTCCCTGAAATATTTCAAGTTATTAAGACTTTTTGTTATCCTTTTACTCTGAAAAGCAACATAATAGTTGTGATATGTCATAAAGAAACATATCTTTCATAGTTTAGGTACATAGAGCAAATTGGGACATTTCAAAACTAATGGCTTAATAGAGCTGAGAGGTTTCAGATGTAATAGCAGATGAGTGGTGACTGTCTTACTCTTGCTTTAGAACAGCATGCTTAAATACTGGGATGGGAGACCCACCCACTGGCTGGAGACCTTTTAGGAGACAAAGTAGAAGTAATTATCCTTAGGGAGCTCATAGGCAAGTGGTATGACTGGGAGGTTACACTTACATTTATGCTTCAGTTGAATTCATTTTTAAGAGAGGGATGATCATATTAGTCCTGCTTAAAAGGTTATTATAAAAAGAAACTACTTAAAAGCATTACTTGATAGTTCAAAAATCAAATTTAGATATGTCAAATAATGTAAATTCTAAATTTGCTAGGTGTAAGTAAATGTTTATTGTTTACTTTAGATCAAGGACTGTGCCAAATGTAACTTTTAAAAAATGATTTATTTTCTGGTCCTGGCCAATGTGGCTCAGTAAGTTGCATGTTGTCCCATGCACCAAAAGGTCACCAGTTTGATTACCAGTCAGGGCACATACCCAGGTCATGGGCTTGATTCCCGGTAGGGAGCGAGCAGGAAGCAGCTGATTGATGTTTCTCTCTCTCTCCCCCTTCCTCTCTCTAAAAAAATCAATGAAAACATATTTTTAAAAATTATTTTCTGAGTAGGTAATACTTTAGTAGGTAAAACAATTTCAAAAGGATATGTAGTTTGAAGTCTTTCTCCCATCCTGTCTCCGAGCTGCCATGTTGTCATCACTGTTTCCAGGGAGATCCTGTGCATATGCACACATATGCGTATCTGCTTTCTAAAATCACAGATGATAGTATATTATACAAACTGTACCTCTCTCTTCTTGAGTACAAAGTATTTCATATCCTTATCTCCTTCAATACAGTAGTTAAGATAGGTACTCATTATCTCCATTTTATAAATAAGGAAACAAAGATTTCTTAATTTGTCCTGGGTGATATAGCTTGTAAGTTATAGATAGAATCTACTTTCTAGGTATAGAGGTAGTAATTTTGGCACTACTTATTTATTTGTTTGTTTTGAAACCATTTCAAACTTATAGAAAAGTTGCAAGAATAGAATAAAGGACTTCATCTATTCTTTGCCCAGTGCTCTGGGTTTCTGTGGCCATCTCAATAATGCTGGCAAAGGAATCGGCCCAGGAGCACACGCTGTTCCCAGTTTTGTCTCTCTGTAGTTCCTTCAGCCTGGAGCAGTTCTTCAGTCTTCCCTTAGTTTTCATGACCTTGATATTTTTGGAGATCAAAGGTCCATGGTTTTGTAGACTATCAATTGGTAATTGTTCTAGGTTTCCTCACAATTATACCCACATTGTGCATTTTTGGCCAGAATATCACGGAAGTTATGTTGTGTTCTTCCCATTGCGTCTTATCAGGTGGCATACAATGCCTATTGGTTTCATTACTCCCATTAAAGGGAGAGAAGAGAAAAGAGAGGGGGAGGGAAAGTAACTTTTATTGGTTCGCTTTTCAGAGAGCCTTTTATTCAGTAAATATCTTCCCTTGTAGCATCCTGGCGGAGAAGAGGTTCTGCTGGAACAGGCTGGGGCAGATGCAAGTGAAAGCTTCGAAGATGTAGGCCACTCCTCTGATGCCAGAGAAATGCTAAAGCAATACTATATTGGTGATGTGCATCCGGTAAGAAACAACTGGGCTAGGAGTGTTTATGGAGAGGAAAGCGCCCTAGCAGTCACAGAACAGTGGAAATTCATTTGGCCCAGCCACCCGGCTAAATTTTCTCCAAAATCACCTGCCTTACTTTGCTACGATATAGCATCTCATTTGTAAAGCAACACATGTATCTCTGAAAAGTTAAGGAAACTGATTTTGGATGTTTTTGTTTAATGGGTTCATTTTTGTAATGCAGTTAACATCTCTGCTTAAAATAGTGGTTTGGTTGCTCTTGCAGATTCCTTTCTAAAGGACTTTTTAAACCATACCATTCTAACAAGAGACCTTGATGTGCCCAGAGTCGGGTATGGCGTAGAGGTGGGGAGCAGTACTCTTCTGCAGACCCTGATGTCTGTCAGGGAATTCACTTCTGTCAGAATGCAGTCTCATGTTCCAAGGTTAGAAACAAGCACATAGTGAGTGTTCATTTGGATATGTCTTAAAATATTACGTGTTTTCTTCTTTTCACAGAATGACCTTAAACCTGAAAGTGGTAGCAAGGTAAGAAGTCATCTGTTTTCTTGTGTGTTTCAAGTGTTTATATTTCTATTTACTCATATAGAATTTTAAGAAATTATCTTAACAAGAGAAGTGTTTATTTATCCCTCGAGCAAAAATCCTGTTTTTCAGGAATTTGGACTCAGTGCCATCTCAGGAAAAAAGAATAGCTGAGTCTTGAACAGTAGGAAACATTTGTTCATGTTTCTATTTACTTTTTTTAAAAAAATTGAAATTCTAAAGCCATGCCCTATATGGTTTTGAAAGAAATTAGTTTATGGGTTCAGTTGTAGAAAAATATTTATTATTCCTACACTAAATAGTACAGGTGATGATAATTGCTCCTGTATTGGACAAAGAATTGGAAAGTTGATTTTTCTCTTACAAATCTTAGAAGAAAATATGGAAGCTTTTTTTGCTTCCCACAAGCTGGGTGGTTCATCTCCCAATTCCCTCACAATTTTCCTTGATTTCTGTCCATCAGCTCCTACGCTACCCTCTGATTTAAAGGCACCACAGTTCAGTAACTGCCTAGAACATCGAGGAAGTGATGCCCCTTCCCCTTTTCCTCCTAGCTTCTTGCTTCCCTCCCCTCACTGAGCTGGAATTATTGAACACATTTGACACAGCAGCTAAAGTTGGCCTAGACACAAGAATTCTTTCAACCCGAGATTGCTTGACAGTGTCTGCCGTCGGTTACCCTGCAGCCCAGAGTGTGTAAATTAACTCTTCTGTCTTGCTATACTCTGTTCCTCTTAACTGCTACATTGTTTATGAAGGAGATGACATGGTTCTTTAAATGCTTTGTGAGCACTATTGGTTTGTCTGTCCTCCCCTCCTAGCACATGTACTATTCATTCTTGAATCCTCACTTGTGTAATTAAGAGAAAATTTGACCCTGGCTGGTGGCTTTGGTGGAGTGTTATCCTGTAAACCAAAAAGGTTGCAGGTTCAATCTCCAGTCAGGGCACGTTTGGGAGGCAACTGATAAATGTCTCTCTCTCTCTCTCTCTCTCTCTCTCTCTCTCTCTCTCTCTCTCTNCTACCACACTATTGTCTGTGTCCATGGGTTATACATCTGTCTCTTATACACATCTAGATGTGTATAAGAGACAGCTCTCTCTCTCTCTCTCTCTCTCTCTCTCTCTCTCTCTCTGTCTCTCTCATCAATAAAAACATATCTGGGTAAGATTAAAAAAAGAGAGAGAGAGAAAATTTGAACTAAGCTTGATCTTGTTTATTGAAATGTCTGGAAAACATTGCTCTTCGAGGTCAACATTTGATTCGAGGGGTAGTCCCATTTGTACAAGAGATGCTCAGTTGGTTAAAGCATCATCCCAATACGCCAAGATTGCAGGTTCCATCCCTGGTCAGGGCACATACAAGAATCAACCAATTAATGCATAAATAAGTGGAACAACAAATCGATGTTTCTCTCTCTCTCCCCCTTCCCTCCAATAAATAAATTTTTAAAAATAATGGAAAAAATATTTTTGGAATTATAATGTCTAAAAGTCTACAAATTGCTTCTTGTTGCTGTTTTCCTTCCTTGGTAGTACAGTATGTAGTTAATAGGAATGGAGAGTGGTGATTTTCAAATTCTGCTTGTGCCACCTCTATTGGAATCCTTTGGCATGTTTTCTAAAATGTGTACTTCTTGGCTTCCATTACTACTGATTCATCATCTTTGGAGATAGGACTTGGGAATTTGCACTTAAAGTAATCTAGGTAGCCAAGCACCAGATTTTTTGCTGAATGATATGTTGGTCTTTCATTGGGAAACTTAGGGAACTTTAATTAATTCTCTTCCGTAAAAAGCACTGTCTGCCTTCTATAGGCCAAAGAATTAATTAGAGATGTCTCAGTTAAATTAACTCTTGAGCCTTGGACTTCTTGTAATAAATATAGAAAAAGAAACTCTTTCAGCTGACCAAATTCTGTAATAATTTAGAAGTCTCCAAATGTAGTTCGGCTCCTGTCTGGATTAAACAGTGATTAAAGGCAGTGTTTTCAAGTATCTGTTTTTGTCATGAATGTTGTATCCAGAGGACAGTCTCCATTAAGCAGAGAGTCTGGCAATTGAGTGTTTTCAGTCACACTGCTGTACTCGGGCAGATCAGGCAAGCAAAGCCTTTTGGAAAATTTTCAAGACCACCTACATAGGCTGTCATAGACCTGTAGTTTAACCTGATTTCAGGCCCAGGAAGAAATTCTTGGTCCCTCAGATTTGTTTCTTACAGAGATTTTAAATAGGTCTCTTTTAAAAATTTTACTGTCCTAGTTTAAATACTCACCTTGAAATGGATGTAATGTTAATTTTATTAATACTTTCTTTTGGTTAAGGGTTTCTGAACCTCTTTGAGTATGTGATGTTTTTCTTACCTGCTTCAGTCAAAGATAACTAACTAGTTAAAAAACCTCTTTGTCTCTGTCAGTCTCCCTTGCTGGATTAGTCCCCATGCTGAGAGCCATCGACCTTTTCTTCAGACTTGACTTAACACTTTTTTGATCTGCTTTTGGTTATGGAAACTCGCCTTGGAAGCAGACTTAGTGTTTTCTGTGCCAGTTTGCCTGCCTGCCTACTGTACTGCATGCATTTACTTCCCAATTAGCTGTTTTATCACTGCTGTCGATTCAGGAGATAAGATACACACATATCCTGACCAAAAAGGTGGGCACCCTCTCATTCATTTGTCCAACAGATATTACCTAAGTGACAGTTCAGCTTCTTCACTAGTCAAATCTCATTACAATGACTAGACCCAATAACTTGACCATTCCTTATTTATGTTTTTTGAATGGGTAGTATGTAATGTACATGGTTAAAAAAAAGACGACCGTGTAGCATAAAAAATGAATCCCTCCGATCCCCAGTTCTGTCTCCTAGTTCCCCTTACTCAGAGGTAGCCAGCTACCATTTTCTTGTTTACTTTTCCAAAGAGATTCTGTGCATACATAAATATAAATAGACAGATGGATGAGTGGATAAATAGATTATTTGATAGATAGGCAGAGCAGCTATTCCTTAAAAAAAAAATCTCATAATACTATTCTGCACTTTGCTTCTTTTTACTTAAAAATGTTATATTCATGATTGTCCCATATCAGTTCATGAAGATCTTCCTCATTCTTTTAAATATATATCTAGTATTTCGTAGACAGAAGTTTTAATGAGATGACATTTGCTGTAACAGAATTTGACCTGTTTTTGAAAAACAAATAAGGTTGTCTCCATAAAGGCTTAAACACTTTTTAAATTCATTTTTAACTTAAGTTTAACTTTTGAAATCTAGTAAATTTCACATATTAGAAGCAATCCATACATTGCATTTAAAGGCAGATACTTTTTTTCTCCCACATGCTACTTTCTTTTGTTATACATACAGTTTTCTATTACACATAACATATTATCCATACATAACATTCAGTTTACCTTCTCTTACAGGAGAGAAGGATACATTTTTCATGTAATATAGTTAGTTGGTTGCATTATACCGAAGATTTCCTTTGAAGAATTCTTTAATATTCCTATCATACGTACACCCTAATCTATTAAAATTTGGAATGAGGAGGTAGATGCCCTTTAGATGAGTAGTGATTGCCATTTACCAAGGAATTTTTTCAAGTTACTTTGTTTCCTGTTTTTGTCTCACATTTGTATTTTGTAATATAATCTTTTAAAATAAATCATAGAATATAATGGCAAAATCACTCCTGAAATACAAAATACTCTTTGCCGAGGGATCTCAAGGATTCTCTCAAGGATTAATGTCTTCTGTAACATTCTATTTAGAAATGATACATAGTTTTGCAAAACAAGGTGTCAGAAGACAAGGTAACATCCATTTTAAATCAGCATGCCAATGTTATAGCAATTTTTTTATTTCTTAGGTCCCTGTAGGAATCATCCTATGAGTGTTTTAATTTTTTTTTCTTCAGTGATGTCTATATATTGTATCACAGTGGTTTCTTGAAAGAGTTGTGTAGAAATTTGTTTTAGAGGAAATTTGTTTTGAATTTTGCCCTTATCTACAGGGAAATATTTTTCCTGTGACTGGGTTGACTCTAGTGATATATGCTTTTTGCAAGACAGTAATTGTTAAACAGTATTCTCATCCAGAAAGAAATGTTAGGACATGAGAAGGTTGTCCTCAAGATCCATACCACGTGACTGTGTCATCGTTGGGACTATAAAATGTTGAAATCATGTACTTTCAGTACTTAAACTTCTTAGGTCATAAGATGAACCTAATACTAAAATTCATACAGTGATAGCTCATGCTAGAGTCCATTGTATTATGGGGGGAAAATCCTCTCTAGTAGTATTTGAAGCCAAAATTTTCCAAGTTGTTTTTCATAAGTACTGGCCACATAGGTACAAATGTGTTCTAAATAAAAAGCTGTAAAAACTACCAGACCACCCAAATACTCATTAAATTTGCTGAAGGTGTCCTGTGGCTTAAAATCCGCTTCTAATTTTAAATATTTAGAACCCTCTTGTAAGAGCAGACACCCAAGTGAGGAATTAAAACATAAGTTACTTATATACCTTATAATGTATTTCTCTTTTATTTAAACCCTTGAAATCTAAATATAAATGATTTAGGTTGAAGGTACACTTATAATGCCCCTTCTGTATATTTTAATGCATTATAATCATAATTCTGGCACATTGTTTCCTATGTTTATGTCCTGATGACAGAGTACACCATTTTTTAGGTGTGTAAACAGGGTTTCTCATAAACAGGGTTCCATAGTGAAACCACCCCTGCTGACCCCCAAGTCCCATCTCATATATTTGTCAATTATGACATTTCCTTATTCTTTTCAAAGAGAGTCAGAACTTAATGGCGCAGTGCCTCTCGAAAGACTATCTAGAAGAACACACCTTTTTAAAATATATATATATATATTTTTTTTAATTGATTTTTTTTTTTTTAGAGAGGAAGGAGGAAAGGAGGGAGGCAGAGAGAGAGAGAGAGAAAGAGAAACATCACTGATGAGAGAGTCATTGATCGGCTGCCTCCTGCACGCCCCTACTGGGGATCGAGCCCGCAGCCCGGGCATGTGCCCTGGCTGGGAACTGAACTGGCAGCCTTCTGGTGCACAGGACAGTGTCCAAGCCACTGAGCCACACCAGCCAGGGCTAGAACACGCCTTTATAAACCTGATGTAAGGTAGAAAAATGTACATGTAGTGCTCCTTCAGTCTTCCTAGACATGGGGGAATGGTGTTTCCTTCTCCTCTAACCTTCAGAAAGCTGCTTTGGTAGGTTTTGCTAAAATGCCCTTGGGTTAGAAAATAGTGTTGAGGTAATTGAATGTGACTTTAGAATTCAGGTTCATCTGGTCTGAGCCTTCAATTTTACAAGTGAGGGAATTGATTTAGTGTTGAGCTTGAAGATCTGAGACATAATTTTACTTACGAGCAGCTTTATAAAAAGGTTACTCAGATATTATGAAATTTCCTTTATTCTGCAAAGTTCAGGTTTGAATTTTATATGTATATTAATGTGTATATTTATTTTACGAGGAAATGAAGCCCCTAATGAATCTCGAACTTTAGGAACCAATATAGTTAAACAGTTAATTTCTGTTCATTTTGAACTAAAATCAGAGTAGACTTGTGGTTGTTTGGAAGTGTATTCCAGACTCCTTGGAGAATAAAGAAGCATGCATATTAATTACCTGGTAAGGCTTTTGCTAGAATTCTGGATTTGATCTGCTCTCTTGTAACTAAAATCATATAGTACCGCAATTACTACTTTCCATGCCAGAAATCGAGAGCAGTCACTGTTCTCTCGACCAAAAATCTTGCATGTAAATTAAAATGTGTGCAAGAACATAACCAGCCAGTATGCCTGAACACCCAAAGGGATAAGTTAAAATCAGTCATAAACTGTAGGAATTTCACTTAAACATCCGTTAGATCCAGCACAGAGCTTTGGAATGGAAATGAGAATTGGGAAACGAGAGAGAGTACAGAAGGGCGGAGATGAGGGAAGGTTTTGTGTTAATAGAACCTTTTTCTTTTTAATTTTGTAAATTTAAAAATAACTTATTTGGCTTCTTTCCAAAGTTGGCTGAGGTACTTGGCTACTAAGAGCAGTGTCTTAAATAACTCTTTCATTATAGTTGATTAAAAGTGGAGTCACTGTAGCTTGGCATTTCCTTGGCTGTCAGTATCTTAAAGAGAAGGTATGCTTCTTTCTCTCCTCTTTCCTCCGGCATTAGGAAGTCGGTCTTTTTGACTCCAGGGATGTATTGCTCTTAAAACAGGGGTTGAAGAATTTAGTTTAAAAACATACATTTTAATTTTTTATTGCTTATTAGAAACTATTACAATTTCAGCATCCTATGGTTTGGTTCTCTCTTGTCTCTCCTCTTTCTTCTCTCAGTTCACTACGTTGTCTAAGACTCACTTTAGTTAGCACACATCCAGGTTTTTTGGTTATAAAAGCTTCGAAATCTAGAGAATCCATTTATATGAACTATATGTATGGCCTTTAATGATGCAGATTCAACATCATAATACATACATCACTCCACAGTGCTGTCATGTAAATCTTTCAAATCATCCCATTGAAAATCAGTACTAATTCTGTATCTTTTGTTTTTTTTAAATCATTGGTATATATGTGGATAAAGCATAAAAAACCATGGACATTTTCTTGATGGAATTCAATTACTTCTTGGCTACGATTGTTAATATTTTAAAAGGCAACATTATAAATTAACTTGATGCACACCATCATCACTGCCACCACCTTCCAAATCTGTAAAACATCTATTGTATTTCTTAAAGATTGACCTGCGACATGTTTTAATTAGCCCAATTCGTGCTATTCCAGTAGATATGACCCAGATAGGAGTAATCATCAAGGTCTCAATGAAGTGTAGTAGTATGTTAATATGGTTTATCTAAAAATTTTTATTAGAAGTTTTACTTGCCTATAGACTAATTTCTTTCAGGTTTGGGGCATGTATTCATTTGCATGACAGTGTTTTGGATATATGAGATTGAAACTCATTTCACAGTCTGCTCTAAAGTATCTAGGCCAGTATGTAGGGTTTTTGAAAATTCTGGGAGGTTACTGTAATGGTTGTTAAACAGTTAATGTTCTGTGTTCACACCCTGGAGTATTTCTACATATTGGCAAAGATGATATTTTGGGCAGCAGTAGCCTACACTAGTGGGTTATTGCCCTCTGGCAGTAAGTTAGCAGGTCTTTTGTACTACACAGTTTATTGATAGAATCAGTAACTTCATTTGATATTTACTTAAATTGAATTTTAAAAATTTAGTAACAGCTTTATTAAGATAGAATTCAGATCCCATCCAGTTTATCTATTTATGCCAAAATTTTGTTGTTAAGGATTTTTAGTATATCCACAGAGCTGTGCGACCATAATCACAGTCTATTTTGGAACATTTTCATCATTCCAAAAAGAAACTCTAAACCATTAGCAGTCATTTTCAATTTTCCTCCAGCTCTTCTTCCCCTGAGCCCTAGGAAACCAGCAATCTGCTTTCTGCCTCTAAATTTGTTTATTTTGAACATTTCATACAAATGGACTTATATAAGATGTGGTCTTTTGTATCTGGCTTCTTTCATTTAACATAATGTTTTCAAAGTTCATCCATGCTGTAGCATGATTTCTTTTTATTGCCAAAATTTCGTTTTTAAGGTTATTTTGGTACTTTTTCCCCTGTAACTCCATTCTTCCCCTTTTCATTGTGAAATAATCCCTGAGGCTTCTAATCATAATTAGTATGATTTCAGAGAGTAAGCCAGTTCATTTCTGTAAGCCGTAAAACAATCATCTCCATGCTCTAGAGCATTTCACAGCTAATGTATATATTATAAGAGTAGACTTTATTTTTAAAATATGTTTTCAGAATATGTGATCTTAGCTACTGCCAGTGGCAAGCCCTACTGAACCAGTCATATTATTGTGACTACAAGTTGTTCCATTTCAATACAGTTTGTATCAGTAGCATTTTTTAATGTCTAAAAAATGTTTAGGTCATTTCTTTATGCTTTCATTAATGGTTGTTCACTAGGGAATACCAGTATATTATCAGAAATAGAATTCCTGGTACTCCCAACGCATATAGATTTGTAGATATCAAATTGCATGATTGATAAAGTTCTGTTATTAGCTACAGTGTTTATACAGGTATTCAAGAAGATTTATGTACTCTGTGTTAATCTTCATTCTCTTTGTTTGTCATATTTGAATATGCATCTTCTTCAGGACCCTTCGAAAAATAACACATGCAAAAGGTTAGTATCCCCTTAATGCGCTTCATTATGCTCAACGTAACGTCTGGCAAGAGGTTCTTCCAGAAATCTACATGTATGACGTAACCTCAGAGTACAGTGTGACAGCAAATTCCTTTTTGGCCAAAATTATTGCAAATTCAGAAGTTTCTTAGCATTAGCAAAATTAATTTTTACAGTTTTAATCATTTTGAGTAATCTCAAAAGTTCATGTCTGTAGTAATTTTTAAATCAGGTTGGAATCACACTCAGTAAAAGGCTGGTATGCGTGGACAAGTAACTACTATTGAGTCAAGCCCAGTCTCTGCAGCTCAGCTCAGCTGTGCAACATCCACTTAAAACTTAATGTCATTTAATCCTCACAATCACTCTATAAGGTAGGTACTGTTACTACATTTACAGAATAAAAAAATTATGTATTGAAATTATATTCAGGAATTTTGGTTTTCTCAAAAGTGTACTTACTTTGCAGTAATAGCAATAATAAAGCTCTGAGAGGTATAAATTTACCATTCCTTAAGTGGTTCTACTTGAGATGATTGTGGAATCCTTGGCTTGTAAAAAACTTTTATAGAGATTACCTAGAGCTATCTGTTTTATCTTTCTGAGGTCCCACTTAAAGCATTTCAAAGAGAGAGAGAGAGAATGTGTCTTCTTCTCCCATAAAAGGGTCATGTCTTTTTTATTTGAGGTGATAGAGTATTAGAAAAGTGCTAATCTGAAGGAAACAGTAAATTCAGCTTCCTTAACGTTAAGGGCTTATGCTTAATAAAGAATTCAAAAATACAAGCCCTAAACTTGCAATAGACTTATGCTACAGATAAAACTGAGTAAGAATTATTATGCAGAATACTTAAAGAATTCCTATAAATCAATTAAAAAATAACTTAGTAGAATATGAGGAAAAGGTTTAAGCACCTTACTGAAGAGGAAAACACAACTATAAGTATGAAAGAAAGGTTTAATTTCATTTGTCATCGGAGAGGTGCTAATTAAAATCATTAGGTATATTTCATACTTACCAGATGGGCAAAAATTTCAAATCTTTAGATTTGAAATTAGAGGAGTTGTTTAGGAAGTAGATCGCCAAGATCCTTAGGCCCTCTTAGGGGACTATCACTTTGGAAAATAGTTTAGCATCATCTGTTAAACTTGACAGTATGAATATCTTTTTGTTTGATTGGGTTTTTTAATCCTCACCCAAGGTTATTTTTCCATTGATTTTAGAGAGAGTGGAAGGGAGGGAGGGGGCGTGAGAAAGACGATTGGTTACCTCGAACCTGCAACCAAGGTACATGCCCTTGACCAGAACCCAAACCTCCAACCCTTCGGTCTGCAGGCCGACGCTCTAACCACTGAGCCAAACTGGCCGGGGCATAATATGAACATCTTTTGACCCAGCAATTCTATTTCTAGGCATGTATTCAAGAGAAACGTTATGCACAGGTATACCAGGACACACGTACAGGAATGTTCATAACATCGTTATTCAAGATCTTAAAATAGGGAAATAACCCAAATAACCATTCATTAATAAAATGAATGAATTCATTGTGGTATAGTCACACAGTGGAATGCTACAAAGCAATAAAAATAAATGAATCACAACTACATGCAATAACCTGAATGAATCGCTAAGAAGAGAGTTCGGTGTGGTGGCCAGGAAGTTCTTGTTGAACCTAAGTCTCCTTTGGTGCGATATAAATGCATTTTCTCTGGTTCTAGTCTCAGCGGCAGTTAAGTATTGCCAAGGATTATGTGAGGATTGGTGGTCAGCTATCTTCGGTCTTTTGTGCTGAAGGATTCCTTTTCATTACTTTGTCAAGGATCCTGCTCTTTAGCTCTTCTGCCTCTTGTGGTTCCTCTCCAAGACACCCGAATTCATGACTCTTATGGGGACATTACTTCAAAGCTCCCCCGTGTCATACTGTTGTTGTACATGCCAACTTGCTTTTTATTTTTAAACAAAGTTTCCTGGCTAAATATGCTAAACTTGTCCAGAGCAGCTTTTGCCATACTTAAATGTACAAGTGCTAAACATGTTTAGGCAGAGAGTCATTTTTGTTATTGAACCTAAGCTGGGTTTATTGGCTTCAAAACCTTTTAATACCAAAATTGCACATGTCTTAAGTAGAAGGCCAGCCGGGTCATTTGGATCATGAATTACACCTTCAAACTAGCAGTGCTAGTAAGCTCTATTAGAGAAGGAGAATTGTTTTAAGGAGAATGGTGACTTTTCTGAATATATAAGAAAAATCTCTTACAGGATTTTAAAGCCATTTCTCTAACTTTATTAGAACAGTTAACATGTTGTGTGTGTGTGTGTGTGTGTGTGTGTGTCCGTCTGTGCTTATTAGTGTCCAAACTTAACTAGAGATTAAGCGGGTGAGTTTAGAGTCAGACTCACTAACTTTGCTTTTTGATTTCAGGTGCAAAGCTTATATTTCCTAAGCAGAAAATGAGAATAACAGTAGAACCTATTTTATAGGGTTGTTGTGAGGATTAAATTTTAAAAATACATGTGAGGCAGTTATTGCCAATAGTTTATTAGATGTTAATGCCTCTAAATTTATAATTATATATATATAAAATGGTGGCTTTTTTTTCTGTTTCAAAATGTTAATTGTTTAAAATGTTAAAATATTAAATGTGTAAAACACAAAGAAGAAAAATTTAAACGGTCCATAATTTCATAACCGAGAAAGAACCATTATATGACTCTGTAAAAGCACACATGAAGCTGTGTGTGTATACATGTATACATATATATGCATGTATGTATGCATATATACATATATGTGTATATGTGTATATTTTTTCGGTAACATACTGTACATTGTTTTTAATATTATTATTTAATATTGTCATTCCAATCCAGATATATGTTCTACTCCAACTGTTGTGTGATAAAAGCAGTTAAAATTTCCAAAGTAGATCAGAACTCTTTGCTCATAAAAATATTAAAATGTGAATGTTGAAAGATAGCGAACGTTTGGTATAAAATGTTCATGATGTTATTGTTTTTCCCCCAACTTCCAGCTGCTGGACATACTGGATTTTCCCCATCGTAGGCGCTATTCTCTTAGGTTTCCTGTACCGTTACTACTACTCGTCGGAAAGCAGATCCTCCTGAGGAGGCCTTGCTGACGTCTGGAAAGCACGCCCACTTGGGAGTGAAAACTAGAGACTGGTTGGAGGCCGCAGCGGTGCCCTGTTCTCAGACCCTTCCCGCCGTTTCCTTCTCCCTTGGAGCCTAGTTGGTTGGCTGCGCACCCACCTCAGACCTGGGGGCCGTGTCCCTCTCTCAGAGCCTTACTCCCAAAGCACCCGCTCATTGTTCGGTGTCCTTGCCGAGGTTTCCTGTCTTCACTGGTTTTCATGAGCACCTTTATGTTACAAACTTTTCTGTTAATAACTGCAATCCATGTGCCCTAGTGACACCTCCTTTGGTCAGATGCTTTCCAGTACCTTGCACAGTAGACATCCTTAACACAGCAGCACACTCTGGGTTTGAAGCTTTCCTTTTCCCGTTTTTCTTTTAAGTAAACATTATTTTTAAATTCTGACTTAATTTTATTGTTTGTCATAAGGGGTTTAATTCACGAACTAAGTTGTACGCCTGTAACTAAAAACACACCTGCCAGGTGATCTTGTTCCTTGTTTCTGTTCGCTAAAGCCGGGAAGAGCCGCGGATCCCCTCCCTCGGGGCCGGCGCGGCAGGCGGCTCCAGCCCCCCGCGGCCACCGTGTGCTGGACGCAACTGTGCTTCCCTTTCGTTTCTGGGGGGAGAGAAACGGAAAGGGAGAGATGAACTGGAGTGATAGGGCGAGTTCTTCTGGAAAATACTGAGAAACACTGCTATAGGATGGGAGTTTAGAAAAAGCGCCAAAGACTTCATCCTTTCCTTTGGTTTGGCACCGGTTTCTAGCTGTCCGCCTTCTTATTTTTCCTTTCCCTTAACCATCTTTATTGGTAAAATAAAAATTTGTAATTATGTCTGTAGAGCTTTACCAGGGATTTTTGCTGCTTTTTTGTTTATTGAGTAGCAAAATTTTTATTCTCTGTTTTAATGAACGTAAGAGACTCCAAATTGATCAAAGGTGCAGTATTTGATCTTCTGTTTGCCCAATTAAGCAAATTCCATAGTCGAGTGGCATTTGGAAGGGGGGAGATGGTGACAAAAAAATATTTTCCATTTCATCTGTATTTTACCTCCATGGCTTTAATTTGTGGTTTTGTTATTTTTCCATTGAGAATTTAAAAACTGGTAGGTGTGTGTGTGTGTGTGTGTGTGTGTTTTCTCGGATGAGTGTTTCATTGAAGAGTCGGTTATTATTTAGAATTATGTTACTGTTTCTTCTTGGTTCAGGAATTTCTTTGGCATATTTGCCTTTACTTTTTTTCCCCCCATGTGAAAGCACCTGAGGAGACAGCACTCTGGCTGTTTTCTGCCAACCACTGTTTGTGGGGATTTTTCTCCCCATCTTTTGAGGATCACCCGTCTGCTTCTGAGCCATTGTCACAGGCAGCAGGGAGCAGCATGGTTCAAGAAGGGTCGTGGGCGCTGCTTAGTACCTCTTCCTGCTTCCTGCTTGCCAGGGACTTGGCGAGACCGGAAACTGCCCAGCAAACCAGTTTCTGCCCATGAAAACTATTTAAGAAAAAGTTCAACCCAGGTCTTGTATCCTGTGATTTAGCAATTGACTAAATTCAGAATTCATCAAAATAATATTACCCATTTCTGCACACTTGCATATGACACTATGGAGTAATGTTTTGGCATTTCTGGTGGACTTTTATGTATCAGGGATATGCTATAGTCAAACTTCTATCATTAGAGAAAATTTTGTATGTATTATAAGATGCCACTTTAAGACAATTCCTTGAAAAAAATAATCTTTGGTTATTATGTAGCAAAAGTGGTGTGACTATGGATGCTCCTTTATTTGAAGGCAAGGAAGGGTTTCCTTGAATAAGAATTGGCATATAATTGCTATAAGTTGCATGATTACATGGGACCACATTGGGGTAGAAGTAGAGAACAAAGGAGTATTGAGGAGCTGGAAAGGGAACATTCAAGCTAAAACTAAGCCGGAAGATAAATTTGGATCGATCAAAAATGTCTTGGCAGTCTCCAAAACTGAATGAAAAACATCTGGCTTATGAAAAACATTGAAGAATGATAGCCTTAAGTAAAATTGGTGTTTTTGATATTTTTAGGGTAAACATTAATGCAAAAGGTATGTTTTTCTATTTCATATTGGTTGTCTTTTCCTGTTTATATCTGGACTGAGAGCCAGAGGAAAAGATTTTCAGACTTTGTCTCTGCCATCTATGAAATTCATCCAATACCCAGGGCTTCTTTTGATCTGCTAATGTGATGTCACTTTACATTATAAAAAACCACTTTTGGGTCCATTTACTGTTATTCTGCTGCCTACATAAACAGCCAGGTGAAAGGTAGAACTTGTGTGGGAGTTTGCAGAGGTTTTTCTAAACAATAAAGTAATACAGTACGTTAGCCAAATCCATCAAAAAGGGCTTTTGTTTTAAGAGGTAGACTCGAATTCCCAAAACAGTCTCAACACTGGTAGGTCTTGAAAACCCCTCTGGAACACGTGGGGCCTGCCCCTGTTGGCTGCCCGGGCCCCCTGGAACTGGCCTGGGGTGTTTGCTGGTTAATTCCCGAGTGGCGATTAGCTGCTGCTGCGCACCACGCTGTACACATAAGGGCTGGGCGTCGCAAAGAGCAGGTGAGGGAACATTTGTGCCTCCGAAAGAGAGATGTGCCAGGTTTCCAAAATTTCCTGGCCCCCTCTCTCTTAAGAATTTTGTTTTCCACATAACTTCAACATTTGTAAAGACAAGACATACTGTGTTTAGTTCTTCTGTGACTGCTTAAGCAGAAACACAAAAATCCATTAGAACCCCTCATTTGAGTCTATAAAATTCTCTGAGCAGTTGTCATAAATGCATATGTTGGGAAATGAGAGCATTGCTGGGTTTATAGCCATTTAGTTCTAATGTGGAGCAATGAAAACTGCTTTTTACAGGCCAGGTATATCATTACCCGTGGTATCTCATGCCTAAAATCTCAAGCGATAGCTATCTGGTTAAATTCCGTTTTAGGAGATTAAAATGCAGAATGTTAATGTTTATTACTTCCTTCCCCAGGAGAAATAGGTTCAGACATGTCTTGTCTCAACAAGAAATTGATTCTTTTTAAGCCATCTCATTCGGTTTCCAAATATCACAAAAGTAATGGGGAGCTTGGTCACATTGGGTTGTTGTGCGCTGAAAGCCCAGGTTGGAATTTGGGGTGATCTCAGAGGGAGGTTCCAGAAGCAGAGCGGTATGTAAGTTACCTACCCTACATCTAGCGTCTCACTCCTGAGTTTTAGGAACTGCACTCGCTTGCATCTATATTCTACACTTGCTATTTTGACAAAATATTACGATCATTTGACTTCTTTCTACTTCACCCTCAACTGTGAACAAGTAATATTAACATTCCTTTTGTGTATTTAATAATGGAGTTTGTTTACCTATTTTATTTCAACATATTTTGAACAAAGATCTTTGTCTCTTTCTGCTGGAATGTGCACACAGTGAATGTTTGTTAGAACTAAACACAATAAAGACACTGTTTGCCTTTTCTTGCCCTGACTACAATTATTAAAACGCACACACACACACAAACTGTTTTTTAAAAGTAGAAGTGTTGCCTTTGTGATCTTCAGGTGTTCTAGAAGAAAAGCATTGGAGAAGCATTAAAGTCACCTGTTTTTGTGCTAATACTGTGTTTAGTGTAACGTGGTAGGCAGTCCTGCGGTTCAGGATTCTTGCAGCTCTCTCCTTGAAGGGAGTGGCTCGTTTGATAATCATGAGAGGCAAAAATCAATACTTGCTGTATTGATGGATATGAAGGGGCCATCAGGTAGACACATTGGGAGTTCTGTTTTTACTGAAACCATCTGCGAAAGAGAAGCCAGTACAAGGTGGTAATATTTTGTTATCTGCAATGCCAGTCTTCAAAATGATTGTTTTTCTTGGAAATAGCTAAACTGTTGGGGAAAATTAAACACCCAGATTGAAGTTCTAGTGATTGTTTAATAAAGCAAGGGAAATAAACCATTTTTCTCATTACTTTTAAAACCTACTGATAGCCTTCTAACATTACTAATGAGACATAGTTCATGAGGGCTTCGTTATTTCACTATCACATGAACTGAGGATTACTAACAGGAAAGGATAGTCCATTCTTATTGCTAGCATTTGAATCTAATGTGTAATCTTCAGTCATAATAATTAACATTACTGCATTCTTCCTGATCCTGAGTATTTGGCAGGTGCTTGACAAATCCTGGCTGATTCCTGAAAACCCAGGGTAGAAGAGTATGATTCCAGTTATGTAAATTTAAAGGTAAGAAATTGTCTACTAAATTGTTGGTAATTGTAGGAAATGTCAGTAACCTAACTTTAATTAGCTAAATAGAAGTCTATACTATGTATTTCAGCGCCCACTCAGCTTAATTGCATATATTACCAGCATTTTAAATACTTAATTCTTTTATGAAACATTATGGAGAGACTGGAGTTGCTTTCAGATGAAACATGAGGACTCAGTTGTAATACTGTCATTTATATGACACTTACCATGTGCCATGCAGTGTCTTGGATAGTTTACAAACATTTCTGCCCCTTCCACGATAGGATCCTTACATGATAGATTGGGGAGAGGAATAATCCCAGTTTTACCAGTGGCTTGCTCAGAGAGCCGCTTGACTTGCCTGAGGCCACACAGCTAACAGGAGAGCTACAATTTAAACCCAAATCTAGCCCTAAGACTCGGTTTCTACTGTTGGTGGTTCCATATAAAAACCAAGCTCAAACTGTGCCAAAATAAATAATATGCCCAGTATATCTACTAATGATTCCCATATAGATGTTTCTGTGTATGATGAATAAAACGGGACCAATAATGTTATCATTTTCTTAAGTAGTAGATACTACAAAATAGCTAGTGTTTAGAGGTCTTAGTTGTTGAAGAGAATCATATTGATTCAGTAGAAACAACTTATTTAAAATGATCCTCACATCCCTTGCAAAACAGTTTCCTGAAGCCAATTAGTGAGAATTTAGATTTGAACTATGTTATTAGAAACAACTTTTGATAAAAGGTAGCCTGTACAGAATAGAGAGTTGAGGAAATCTTTAAGCAGCACAGATGAGAAGTCCCTTCATAACTTTTCCCATCCCATCACCCAACCTGCGATCTTGGATTGAGATTTAACCCGAACCTATATATGTATATTGTTTTTAATGAGAAGTAATTGTTAATTGGTTGGCTTGACCTTGGCCTCATCTGGACTGACCTCTCTGAATCATGGAAATCTACCCTGAGCATGTGGCATAAGATTTGGAAACTTGTCATTTCCAGCTTTCAAAATTGTTATACTGTATCATGAAAAGATGATTGAAGTTCATTGGAGAAAGCACAACATAATGCAAATACAAGTGCCATTTGTTACAAGTGTGACAGATGTCATTTTTGATCCGTCAGTGCCAGTCTCAAAGCAGTTTCCTATTGTTTCCTCTGGATCCTAATCTCTGACTGAAACAACATTAACTTTAGAACCACATGGACCTGGAAGGTGAAACAAAAAGACCCAGGGGCTTGAATTTCATTTTTCCTTTAAAAAAGCTTATTTTGGAGATCCTTTTTTCTAGTTTCTTCATGTAAGTTTTTCAGAAATGAGTGTCGCATTACCTTACAGCGTGGTGTCCACAATAAAAACAGGCCTCCCAAATCTGCCCATTTTGATTTAATTACCCAAGAAATCTATCAGGAGCAAATAGAAATAGAAGTTGGGAGAAGCTAAACCAGGAGCAGCACAGGAAACTGAGCTTTCCAAGACTTTCAATGACCTGCTTTTCCTCTGGATGCTTTTTACTTTTTTGGGGGGGATTTTTTCCTTACCTCCCATCCTAACCCCTGCCTTGCCCCTTTGTTTTATGTTTTACTTTGAACTATTTTGCCTTTTGTTTTACCCAGTAAATGACAAGGGAGCTCTTTGGCCATGCTTCTCTTCATTTTTAAGTATTGTGGTACAAAAATGTACCCCATAGAGAACATTTGGAAGAAATAAAGCTGATTTGTTTAGAATTTGGACCATTTATATAAACTAGTGCAGCTCTGTTTGAACATCTCTGCTGACCTTCATTTAAGGCTAAATTCTACCTCTGGACCTTTCATGTGTGCGTCAGTAACTTTGCTTTTTGTGTAAACTGGTTCGAAGTGGGTGTCCGAGACACACATATCCTGACTGCTATGGCCTCTGCAATTTTTCTGACCTTAAAACGCCTGCCTCAGTGATGTCTTAGTAAAGGTTCTGCCTCTTCAAGTATACTTAGGCAGAAACTCATTTTTATTGTGCCAAGTCTGGATGTCTTCGGGAAGAAGAAATATTCCTCACGTTAAAAAAGATATACACACACTCAGATTAATTATTATTGTAGAATAAGATACAGAAATGTCTCTGAGGTTAAAACCCAAGGCAGATACTATAATCACAAACTTGGTGTGTGTGTGTGTGTATTTTAAGTCTTCATTAATGGACTGTATAACCTCTGACGGAAGGGCCTTCTGCATTCTTCGGGGTGTCTTATATCATGCGGGACCACAGTGAAGGCTGAGTGATCCAGGATGGTTTATCGTGCTGTGTTTGAACCGTAGCCAAATTTGCTGAATAACTATCTAGGACTCCCAAGTAGAGTTTTGAGATGAATCCCAGCGTTACCCACATCACTAACAACCAAAAACCCCATTCACTCCGGCATACCTACAAGCCAATCCTGTTTTCTCTGTAAATAGATTCAGCTGCCAGCATTCATTGGTTTCATAAAAATATTTTAAGTAAACTTTATTTTTTAGAACAATTTTTTACAACTTACAGGAAAATTGTGGAGATAGTACAGAGTTTCTATAAACTCAGCACCCGGTTTCCCCTGTTAACATCTTACATTAGTATGTTACATTTGTTACAATTAACCAGTATCGATACGTTATTAAAGCCCTCCAAAATTAAAGTCCATACATTATTCCTATTTCCTCAGTTTTCACCTAATGCCTTTTTTTCTGTTCCTGTATCGCATGTTACATTTAGTCATGATGTTTTTTCTTAGGCGCCTCTTGACTCTGACAGTTCCTTGGACTTTTGTTTTTTGTGACCTTGACAGTTTTAAGGAGTATTGGTCAGACACATAGTAGGATGCCCTGTATTGGAATTTGGGTTTTCCTTATAATTAGACTGAGGTTATAGGTTTGCGGGGAGGCCACAGAAGTTATAGAGGTAAATTGCCATTTTTATCGCATCATATCATGGGTATATGCCATCAGTATGCCTTACGATTGTTGATATTGACCTTGACCACCGGGCTGAGGTGGTGTTTATTAGGTTTCTCTACGAGAAAGTTATCCTTCAGGAGGAACTTTCCTACTGCTCCATATCTGAAGGAAGCCACTATGGGCAGCCCACACCTAAGGAGTAAGGAGCTGTGCTTTACCTCCTTAAGGGTGAAGTATCTACACAGATTATTTGGAATTCTGCATAGGATAGTGGGTCATAGAATTTTATACTTGATTAACATTTCATTGTGTTTTGACTACCCTAAAAATAACAATACAGGGTTCCTGATTGAACATAGTAGTTTGAACAAACTTGTTTATTTCTGCTCCCTTCCAAAAGCCACATAAATGATGAGAGTAAGGAATAAACAAAAGTCCAGAAAGACACAGTGAAGGAGAGGGTACACCTCCATTGTTGAAGGACCTCAAGAAACTTGGAAGACGGAAGGCCAGCGAAGGTAGAAGGGGATAGCCCGGCCGGAGTGGCTCAGTTAGTTGAGGGGCGTCCTGTGCACTGAAAGGACAGGTTCTCGGCCAGAACCTGAGAGGATCTTGAACATGAGATTACCAGGCAAAGCTGAGGGCACTGGTGAGCATGGAGCTGAGAGTGGGGATTCAGAGGAAGTTCATCCTAATTGCTGACACCCACCCCCATTCTAGAATCCCAACGGCCAAGTTTATAACCCCAGGCAGGGCATAGGAAGATTCCTCTCTGGAGAAGCTCACCAGTCCAAGAGAAAAGATCTACAGATGCTGATGTTTGGCAGCTTCCACATGCTCACCCCGCAGTGAAATCCTTCAATAAGCTCCGCTGATACAAAGCATCCCAAAAGGCTTTTAGTGGACTAGACTATCAGCCATTATTTGGAAAGCCTTAACATGAAAGATAGTGACCAAGACAAATAGCAGAAAAAGTCAGAGGAAGAGATAATGTAGAAGAAAAGAAAAAAAAGCCCAATAACTTCTGAGAGATGATATTGTATCCATGAATACAAACATACAATGGTATTTAAAAAGGAACATTCAGAGAATAAGTCTAGCAATTACAAGTTGGAGGCTACCAATGAATGCTAAAATTAGTGGGCAAAAGCTTAAGAAGAAACAGAATATTTACGTAGCCTCAAAATATCCCCCCCAAGGTATTTACTAATTACAAAGAGAAAAGCAGTAATTTTATATTGAAGAAAGCTGGCAGACATCACATTAGCCAAGTGATCAAGTTTAACATCACCAGTAATAACATATCCA